CAGCAGTCTAAAAAGATCGACCTCAAACCCTGAGTACTTGCAGTAGACCCTAAACCTACCGTCTGGATACCTCAAGTTTGAGAAACCCTAATCCCTAAACCCTAAAGCCCTAAAACCCTAAGCCCTAATCCCCAAACACTGAAACTCAATCTCTAAAAACCTCAGACCCTAAACCCTTAAACGCTTGAACCCTAAAACCCTAAATCCCTTAAACCCTAAAACCTTAAAACCCTAAACCCTTAAACCCTTGAACCCTAAAACCCTAAATCCCTTAAACCCTAACACCCTAAATCCCTAAAACCCTTAAACCCTAACACCCTAAATCCCTTAAACCCTAAAACCCTAAATCCCTAAAACCCTTGAGGGATCCTTGGCTTCAGGCCAAGCCGCGCCATCACCAGTCCACTGCTCAGGGCCATCATCGGGAAAAACACCAGGGAAGCGCAGTAGAAAACTGCAAACTCTTGGAAGATGAGGAGGCAGCCTAGGGTTGAGGGTTTAGGGGTTCGTAGGTCTAGGGTGTTAGGCTGTAGGTGTTGAATTTTCAAGGGTCAAAGGCCAAAAGTTTTGGGGGTTCAGGGTTTTGAGTTTGGGGGATCCGGGATTTTCTGGCTTAGGGATGCTTAGGGTATTACTAACATTACCAAAATTCAAAACACCTAGGCCTAGGTCCAGAGGTGTTGGATGGGGATTTTAGGGCCAGCACCTTGGGACCATGAGTGGCAAAGTTTCCTCTTGAAATGTTGGAGTCGCTTTAGGAGCATTATTGTGTATGAGGAATGCAACCGACTATTCCCCACAGAAAGAAAAGGAAATACTTGCTTTGAACATACCTTATGTAAATATATGTATATGTACATATGTATAGAGAGAGAGAAAGAGTATCACTATGGTGGAACCTTGCGTCTTTGAGGGAATCTTTATTATTGGAGGAGAGGATGAGTCACACCCACACCCTCTATGAATAAGTAAATCCCAATAGAGTAAGGGGAATGCTCATCGTGAGGGGAGAGGATGAGTGACGGGTGGGTTATTCTGGAAGTTCTGCAGCTTCGATGGCCAATACATGTCAGCACAGCATCTTTGAAGCGAACGAGTTTTGCAACAGTTGGGCCGGTACATGATGAAGCACTATTGCGGTTCATGTATGATACCACCGGCCAAAGACTATAGCCACTATAGTCTATAGTGACTATAGGATATCAAATGGGTATAGGATTTTCTTTACATGGTGCAGAACAAAACAAGCTCCAACACGTCCCGAAACCAAGCTGGTGCCAAAGATAACGTGCTACATGATCCTTATATGGCTGGTCATGCTGGCCACGAAGCTAGGGCGGTTCGGGCTACTAGCGTCCAAGAAACATGTAGACTTTAAGGAAATTTATCCAAGGAGCCAGCGACCAAGCCGGTCCAGAGCATGGTATGCAAGGAGATTCTGAATTTCTTGTTGGCCCGCAGCCGCTCGTATAGCAACTGCACGGGCAGAGACGTGAACACGATTCCTGCGCACAGCAAGCCAACGGCCAGCGACTCAAACCCGTACTTGTTCTGTGCGAGCTGCGCCGTGCCCACTTCCAAGGCTGCCAAGGATAAGTTGCGGAAGACTAGCATTGCCAAGCATAGACAAACCACGAACGCCTTTGCACGTGATGTTGCTGGAGTAGCAGTGCTTCCTGGCATCTGGTCGATGGCAGGGATAGGGGGCACGTAGATGCACAACTGCATCCATGGAATAAGAGCGACCAAGGCCAGCACGTATTCCATTCCATTCCTGGGTCTGTTCAGCCAAGGCTTTTTTTTGAGCGAGGACTTGGCAAAGCCAAAAACAGGTACCCTAACGAAAAGCCTTACACCCCTTCGCTGCGCGATGCCATGCTGCATCGCGGGAGTGCATTTTGAGAAGCAGCTTACACCTACATCGCCATCCCCGACTAACACCCTTAAAGTTAAAGGAGTGAGTATAATGAACACCAAAAGGTACAAGGTCCATCATAGTCATAGGACAGGGTTGGCTAGCCAGCTCCCTCAATCTATCGGGGGATAATGTAGTTGTAAGCCTTAGCCCGCAAACTGTACAATTGGCTCGGCGGCAGGTGTGATGCCAGCTATGCCAAGGATGAGTGGTGCGTAAATGCGCTAAAAACTCAACTTTAGTGGGCGGTTTCGCTGTTTCCCGTAAGCCTCTAAAATGCCCTGAACACGTGGGATGAGATGCTTCTGGAGTCGTTCAGCCAAGGCAAAACAGGACTTGCAGCAGAAAGCAAGCATGAGAACCCTATAATCCCTTCCACCTAATATTAAATCCGCCCGAATACAAAACTACAGTTTCCTGGAATTCGAAATTCGAGATCTGTCCCCCCAACACTACTTTAAAAGGGCCAAGACTAAGGTTACCTACGGCTCAGATCCTCTGAATTAGGGAGGGTCCCTAGCACGACTCTTAAGGATTAGGGATCTCCTTGATTGTGACTTCTGTTTGAATGGCTTTTATGTTCTAGGAAGTTATGTAAAATCTGAATGAGATTCTAATTGGGTTTATTGTGATTTTAAACCGTTGTTAATTAGATTCTGTAAAGGATTTAATTGGTTTGATTGTGTTTTCTAGTGGCTTTATTTATATTGTTCGGAATATATACATTAGAGGGGGAGGCTTTAATATTAGCGGGAAAGGATTTAAAAGTCATGTGAAAGTCACAAGCTCCTCATTTTGGGAGTTGGGGTAACCAAAGCCCTTGTACCCACTACAAATCCCTAAAGAACCTCAAATCCCCTCCATTCAAATGTCCATCCGATTTGCATTTCACTGCCTGCTATGGGGAGGTAGGATCCCTAGCAGACTTGACATCTTTTTGTCCCAAAACACCGGAAAACTAAGGACCTGAAAGCGTAAACTCTATAGCGTAAAGCAGTGACCGAGATTCTGTCCACATGACATCAGCTCGCCTATGCCTGTGGCAAGGGAGCTCGCAAGTGGCCCAGCGCCTAAGCAAGGGTTTAGGGTTTAGAGTTTAGGGTTTAGGGCCGAGGCTTCGTGGTTTAGGATTGGGTTTTACCGACTTAGGGTTCATGGGATTTTCACACGACCCCCTAGTATTGAGTAGCAGCGCGTATACAATACCTTACATAGCCGCGGCATATTTAACATTCGTTAAGGGGTGGGAGGGTGTTTGAAATTGGGCGAAGGGATTGCCATCAATGGATATCGGGGGATCTTGCTCGGAATACTTTTGACTTGTTTGAGAAATCCCGAAACCTCGGTGTGGTTATGAAAAGATGGACCTCGATGATGACGGTTGAAACCATTGATTTAAATTTCTGCCAGCATAGGTTCAAAACAGTGCAAGACCACCAAGAGAAGTCAAAGAGCTCTTCAGCTGTGCAGGGAATAACAGGCCCAAGAACCTCTTCCTTCACTGCCTACCAACAAGGGGCAGAATTCTGCACGCACCTGAAACTTCTTAGCGGTCAATGGGCGTGGGGCAGTGGATCCCTACACTACTATACCTATTTCTAGCCTGCATCTACCCCAATTTCATACTCTTTACTCACTCCGCCGCTCCCCTTCAGCACAAGGAAATTAAGGCGCACAAAAGCCTAAGACCCCGACACCCCGCTCCCATTCACTAACCTCTAAGCTCCCTAAACCCTGAACCCTACACCCCAAGCCTTGCAAACCTAAATCCAATAGGCCCTCAACCCTAAACAGTAGGATGCATGTTCTTTTCCATTACCCCCCTATACAACCCCATATATCCAGCCGAGGCGCCTAGACCCAGGCAGCCAGCCACAAAGAGACGAAGATTGTGCAGCACCCGATCCTGGCCAGGCTCAGCATGCAGGGATTAGAGGATTAGGTTTGGAGTTAGGGTTTAGGGGCTTAGGGGTTGAGGTTTAGGGTTTAGGGGTTGAGGGTTTAGGGCTTAGGGTTCAGGATGATCACGGAGAATCAAATGGAAAGAAAATGGAAAGTGGAATGGAAACTAAGGCTATGTATCCATGATTCATGGTTTCAATCTGGTGCTTACTGTTGGATGGGAGGTGCTTTCAGGGGCTAGGGGGTGTGGGGCCCAGAAAAGTCCGAAAGCCGAGCACGCGCTCAATCCGAAGCCTCCCCTGACTCCTCGAAGACTAAACCCAGTACTATTATTACTAAAACTCACAAAACCTTAAGCCCAAACTAAGCCCTGGACCCTAATACTAAATTTAAACTGAAAACACAAGCCTTCCAAACCTCACCCGAAACCCTCAAACAGGAAGCCCGCTTTGGCATTTTCTGAGCCTTGAAACCGCCCAAAACTGTGAACTTTAAACCCCCGGCATGAACTTGACACCTAATTATGCCCCAAAACCAACTCCCCTCCAAAAGCTTGAAACCCTGAACCCTTCACTTTACACCCTAAACTCTGAACATGCTGAACCTATTGCAACTATATCCCTAGAACCTTTTCAAAGGGACCCTTATCCAAAAAAACCGAAAGAGTAGTTTCCATTTCTTTTCCATTGCCCTTGCAGAACCCCTGCTGGTTCTATTACTGTTCCCATCCCTAAACCCTAAACCTTTAACCCTTGTCATTATTACTACTATTACCCCGTATTGGGTATCTGGACCCTTGGGGCGTCCTGGCCAGTGAGGCGTGCGGCCTGGATCCAGGCTAAGCTGACCTGAAGGAAGCTCAGAAATCTCAAAACGATAAAATGAATAGCAGCAATAGCTGTAAGAGTAACAATCACCATAGCAGTAATACCAATGAGGGTTCAGAGTTTAGGGGCTCAGGTTTAGGGATTTGGGTAGTGCTCACTCAACATCCTAAGACAGTAGCAATTTGGGATCTGTGGGGGTAGTGGAGAAAATGGAACCTACTATCTGAGGTTAAGGCTTTAGGGAATATTATCACACTAGTGGAGAATCAAAGGGGAATGCTTTGAATTACTCATCTCGAACAATTGAATGGGAGAGCAAATGGAGCATGAAATGGAAAGTAGAGTTTTATGGGGTTATACAGGGTTTAATCCCCTCCCCCTAAATGATTACCCCCCATGTTCCCATTATGGTAGGGTATGATCTATAGGGAGTATTGAATATCAGGGGAGTGGGAAGTGATCAATTTAGAGTTCAAACATCAGGCTTGGGGGATACAGTGATTGTACGGTCACAAGGTCCTGTGCATCCTTCTATGTGAGACATGCAGCCATAACCTGATTGCCGTCAAGGCGGTCAAACAACCCCAACCTAAACCTTTGCCAAAAACCCTAGGTTCCCCAGTAGCCCCTTAATAACAAGGGTGCCCTTTTTCCCACTATTCAGCTTTAATAAGGAGACCCAAAATAAAAAGGGCAAAAGGATACTACTGGGGTACCTAGAACTCATGTTTTTTGGTCAACTCTTCATCTCAAAGAGTGTCCGCTTTGCTGAAATCCATCTGTACAACCCCTATATAATCCTCAAATAACCTCTATCTAACCGAAATTTTGAAAAGGAACCCATATTGGTTTGAAAGCCCTTCTAGTTGAGCAGGGGGAGGATGGGGTCAGATCCCTAACTGTAGTCCCCTGAGACTTGTAATTAAGATAATACTGCTAGCAATTCCTTAGGGTTATACTATTGCTAACTGTAGTGCCCTTAACCTATAGTAAAGATAATACTGCTCAAAACTCCTTAGGGCTGTACTATGATGAAAATGAAAACAGTTCGGGAGGAGATTACAGCTGAAGCCTAGGGTAGCAGGACCGGGAGGCTAGCTGAGATGTTGGAGCTTTAAAGTAAGGAGTATCTTTAAAGGGTTTATATGGGTTACCTAGGGTTGGTTTATATAGGGATATGTGCGCATATATCGGGTTTAAGGTTTCCCAAAATTATGTATCTGCCTGGGCTCCCCTCAATAAGGATTATAGTATGTTGGGGTCTATATTGGTCCCCCTATTTAAGGGAACCCCCATCTCCCAGGCCATCCTTTCAGGGAGTATGTAGGGGACATACTGAGAACTACCCAGAACTTAGGAGGACCCCCCCAAGCCTGTAATAGTGGTATTATAGGAGCATAATAGGACCTTAATATAATCCTTATTATCCCTTATAGCCACCCCTAAACACTCAACCCTACATTATCCCTTATAGCCACAAATCCTATAATAATCGCTATTCTAATCCCTTTGTAGTCACGGGTGGGGGGTCCACCTACAGTATATACTACACCCTAAACCCTATACTTAGCCCAAATCTGTTAAACCCTAACCCATACGTTTCAAGCTTGCAATCCTATTTTGTTGCTCCGAAGGCCTTGAAGTTGCACCAACAATTGCTTCGGGACCAAGTCATGGAACCCTAAGACCCTGTAATTCTGGGTTAAGAGGGTCGGGGTTAAGAGGGTTGGGGTTTAGGGTTTAGGGGTTAGGGTTTAGGGGTTAAGGTTTAGGGGTTAGGGTTAAGGGCGTAGGGCTTAGGATCTAGGGCTTGTGGGAACTGCAAGCTCGAACTGCCACTATAGGAGTTTACTGGCCAGTGTGGGTTCTGTTTGTGGGTCATCAAGTGAGGACTCCGTTCTATTGTGGTGTCTCACAGGCTCAATGGGTCGACTTTCTGAGCAGCCTGAATCCCTAAACAACCAAAACTCAGAGGCTCATGTGTAATTATGAGCTGGCGTCGCAATACCCTAAATGGCGTTAGAAGTATACTTCTCCTACTTATAACCTTTGCGGCTAACTACCCATGAGCCTCTACGTACAAAACCTTAACTTCACCGGCACCCTAAGCCCTAAACCGTAAATCCGAAACCCTAAGCCCTACTATGGTAGCTTCTCTTCAATTCCTTACTTCAAGGAGTCCAAGCAGGCCTGACATCCGCCACCCAAACCCAGGAGGAGCCGAGCCAGCACCAGGATGTACCTGGGTTGCGTTTTTTAGGGTTCTAGGCTTCTAGGGTTAGGGTTGGGTTTAGGGTTTAGGGTTTAGGGTTCAGGGGTTAGGGCTGGGTTTGGGGTTTGTGATTTTGGGGTTTGTGGTCTAGTGTTTCATGGGTTTTGGGTTTAGGGCTACAATACTCCACACTTGCATAGAAGCTCAAGAAGCTCAAGCGAGCCCTGTAAAGATTACTACTGAATTTAAAGGTGGCTACATGCATGCGGTTCAATGCTAGTTTCTGGGAGGGTAACTTTTGGAGGTTTCGGGTTCAGAGTAGAAGCAATCAGGGTTTATGATTTAAGGTTCCGGGGGGTCTAGGGTTTAGTGCTATGTATTTTGGGATTTAGATGGGAATGGGAAAGTTAAGATAGGGACTATCAAGAGTGATTGGGTGGTTAGAAGGTTGCGCAGGGATTGTTTTCGGGATTCAGGCGCCCCCAAATCATGGTCCCGAACCTCCAAGCCCCAAATCCTAAACCCTTAAAAGTCAAAAAACCCTAAGCCCTAAACCGGAGAACCTAAGCCCAAAATTTCCATGTTCCATGTTATTTGCCGTTTGGTTCTCCTTGATCCTCACCCTCTACAAGATGTCTTTTTCATTTCCGCTATATGAATCTACATGATCCCTAAAATTCCCCCCTATATATCCCGAATACAACCTTATATTGAATCCTAAGCCCCAAACCCTAACCCTAAGTCCCATATAGGCAGCCAGGGGCAAGAACCAGGGCCTGGGGGTCAAGAAGGAGATGGTGGCAAAGGTGGCGGCCGCCTCGGTTGATGATGGGAAACCTGAAATTCAAACCCTAAACTTTCAGGCTAAAGAGTTGTAGGGTTTGCCGGGGCTCAGGGGGGTTGCGGGTTTTGACTTGTGGGCTTGAAGAGTTTAGTAGTTTAGAGGTATAGGGGGACTACAGGGTTTGGAATGAGGGTTTGGGTGTCAAGGTTGGGGGTCTAGGGTGGGGAGTGCAGCGAGCTCTTCTTCCAAATGCCTGAGTCATGTACTGCTACAGCGCCATGTATGGCAGAAATCAGTCGCGACATCCAAGGTCATTCCTCTGAGGGACATGCTAAGAGAAACGTGTTCGGGCCTCAGTTTCCTGCCTGGCGAGCAGGTGGCGAACGGAGATCTCCATGCACGCTAATTGAAATGAGGAGGGCCTACTTCAGGGGGAGCGGCCTTTGCATGCAATAGCGGATCATCCATTCCCCAAGTGCATATGGGTAGTGCTTGTAAGGTAATTCAGCCTCCAACCTCAGAGAATCGACTCAACACATGTCAAGCCAAAGATCCACAATAAAGCATCTTCTAGGATCAGCACATGAGACCGATTGCGGGTTGAAATCCAAGACCTATAGGCCCTAGACCCTACAAGGAGCAACCTTGCAAGCCTGACAAACTGCTGCAAAACCAAAGGAGAGGCGTTGCACCGGAGAACCCGTCCGTACACCCGATGGATTTGAGAGTGTACAACAAATGCCAGCCCCCCTTTTTAAGCCTCCTCCCCCTTTTCACCCAGAAGTTAATAATCGTGCTTGTACGGACGGTACCCCTAACTTCTTGAAAGTCTATGCGTCCCTAACCCCAAGAACCCTTTTCAAAGGAGCCCCTTATTCCCTTTGATTCTGGGATGTCGAGAAGGCGCTGTGATTTGTAGCAGCGTGCCCGAGAGGAGAATGGGCCTCGGGTTCCGCCAACAGTCCGGCAAAGCCTGCAGGATGTGACACGCCCAAACTTCGAAACGGCCCAGGGTTTAGGGTTACAGGGTTTAGGGTTGAGGGTTTAGGGCATTGGGTGTAGGGTTTAAGGTCTAGGGTTCAGGATCTAAGGTTTAGGGTCTAAGGCTTCAGGCTGGAAATAGCACCCCCAAATGTGGACCCTCAGTCTTCGGAGGAAGATCCCAATGCGCATGCAGGTTATAGGAAAGGTAGATTTTGGGGCTTCCAGGATTAAGTGTTCATACTGGGGGACCGTACTTCTAATCGCAGCAGGGCTTTAAGATCTGGAGTCAAGGGAGTTCTTGGGCTTTTTGTGCACAGGTTGTCTAATCCGAATAGTCAGATCCCGCCGCTCATTTGGCTGGACAAACATCCTGTAGCCCCATCCCCGAAAACCCTGTATATCCGTATATGTTCCTAAGAGTACCCTAAAGGTAGGAAAACCTTACAATCATATACTTTCCCAAAACCTATACCTCCAATCCCCGTTCCAAAGCCAAGTACCTGTTGGTGGGGTACTTGAACCCTCTAAACCCGCAACCATCAACCCTAAGTCCCTCCACCAAATACATGTGTATGTATGTATATATGGTAGTTTCCC